GCGGATCTGACAGCTTCTTCTGACCTCCGTAGGCATTGCATAACATGGGTGCATTTATCTACATGCAGGCAATACATGCATATACATTAAAAAAAAGTCTTAACCTTTATCATGTAAGAATTTAATTTTTTTGTATATAATGTTATATGTAGTGCTGTATAATTTTAGGTTGTATTTCAACTGGCAGGTTACCAGAAAATGAAAAAAATTTGTAGTAATTTCATTTATCTGCTGAGAATTTTATACAGTGGTCATATATTGTATATTGTGGCATTTCCTACTCTTTTTTTCCAGTTCCCACAGGAGTCCCAGCATGTCCTCCTCTCAACTTAGTGCCTTCCTACACTCTCTGTTTTGGAAATAACCCACTAAGTCCAGTTAGTGCTGCCTTAGTGCACTAAGGTTTAAGCCATTCACTGGAGTATGACAACTTACCAGTGGCCACACCCTAAAACAAAATCACTCTTCCTTCCCCAGCAGCAATCAGCTTCCAACAGCTCCTCAGCTAGGTCTGGGGCCTTGAGAGGGCCTCATCCATCAGTGCTGGAATTTCGGCTTTCTTGATCTTGTACCATTCTTGCACAGGTAACCACAGCTGCTCCTGTGAGTTCCTGAGTGCAACAGCCAAGTCATGTCCAGAGGTCAGCTTTTGACAGCATTTCCCTGTTCTCCAGCTCTTACAATCTTTTGACACTTCTTCTGTCAATTTCTTTGAGCCTTTTAGTGGGAGCGGTGATGCTATAGATTTCTCATTTCTGACTGAATGCTCACAGTCACTTATTCTCAGTATTTTGACCTGTTATATCTTTGCATTAAACAAGCTACCTCTGATCAAGGTTGAAATCTGCGGGTATGAACATACATATTTAGAAGACAGTTTGACAATGTGATCATTTAGCAAAGCAATGTTAGAGTCGCCCCTAGAATCTATGACCTCCTTAGCTATGGGCTTTTCACCAGGATTACAGTACCAGGCAGGAGTTATCTTCTTGCAGAGCAGGCCTCAGATTCAATCAGGTAGCAGTTTGTTATCCCATGAATAGTCTTGCTGCCATTGCTCCAATAAATACACCCATAGTGTAGCATGTAGGATGTAGCCTGAGAAGACCAGGTCTGCATAGCGCCTTCCAGCACCGTGAAAGCTAGCCAGCCTGGAGTTTACAGGTCAGATTGATTTTCCTTAACTCCGTCAACCAGGACATACAACCTGTATGGTGTCTCAGCAATAGAGTCTTGCCAACTAAGCTCTTGGTAGGCAACCAAGATCAATGGCAATAGCCTGTCTTGTTCTCAAGACCTCTGTGGCCTCCCTGACTCACTCACTGGTTGCGGGTCATCCTCAGGCCAGCTGTGAAGACCCTGACCTGGATCGGGTCCCCTGGCGGTTGGGGGGGAGGGGCACGAGGCGCAAAGTCAGCAGCCAGACACCGGGAGTTGGGTAGAAGCAAGCACTAGGCGAGGTCCTGCAGGCTCCTTTAATGCAGAAGGGGGCAGGCCTTATATTCCCCTTTCTCCGCCCCCAAGTCCCTTTAGTCAGTGTATGGTTTTCTGGTTGGCCTGTGCTATGCAGTCTGTTTGCCTCAGCAGTCACTAGGTTCAGGATATAGAAGCACAGCCTCCTTTTGGTGGGCTCCTTTTCGCGGGCTGTTTATGGGCCAGGAAGTGAAGTGAACTCTCGCTGAATCGCTCACCCCATTGTGTGATAGTCCATGCTTGGAACTAGGATTTTCATTTAGTAACCTTATCTTCTATGGCACCATTGTTGGTCCATGCAAGGCAACAACACTCTTACTCCTTAAAATTTTTTTGTTTCAGTTAGCTTATAAAGTAATACATTTCCATAAGACTTTTACATACGTTCCTATTTTTGGTTAAGCCACTTCTAACCGTGTCTTTATATTATTCCCCTGTTCCATCTCCACTTAAATCTTTAATCCCCACCATTCCGATCTCTTCTTTCATATCACATGCATTCTCTTCTCCTTTCCAATTATATATA